AGATTTCAGTTATTTGATACCAATTTTTATTAAATATTAATACTATATATTAGTTTTAAAGCAAAAGTAGTAGTCAATTTAAAGTTATGTTATATTCTATACTACCGATTCAACTCCCGATTCAACTATATCGCCTAACCCCTTTCGCTTACCCTAGTCCTATTTCGGCACCGATTCAAGTTGAATCGGCCCCCGCCTTATGTAAAGGAATTCTATATTAATATAATTAGAATAATTATTTATAATAAATAGATAATACTTTCTATTTGTTTTGTAATATATAATAGAATTAAATATATTTATAAGCTAATATAAACTAAAAGTATTTAATGACTATTTATTATTTAAAGCTTTAAAATAAACTTTATTTTTTTCCTTTATATTCTAAATCTATATATCTTATAAATCCTTAGAATCTTCTTTATAAATAAAAGCAAAAAGAAGAGTTATTTTATTAGTATATATAATAATTAATAAAATAATAAACTTTTTTGATTTATTTTGTTTAGTTTTTATTATTTTATCTTTATTATAAGTATTAGTACTTATTATTCTCTTTATAATCCTTTTTATATTAATTATAAAGCTTTTTTGGTTTTAGTTATATATATATTTCAATTAAATATTATATTTTATAATTATTTTTATTAATTAAATCAAAAAAAGAGAAATATTAGTAAAAGTATTTTAAATACTAAAAATCAATAATAATATAAAATAGCTTAAATTAGATTATAAAAGTAATTAAATATAATAATATTATCAATTTTTATATATAAATTATTAATATAATAGAGATATTGATTTTTAAGATACATTGAATATCTTTTGATAAAATGGCTAGTTTAGTTCTTTTTTATCTTTTTATTTAAAATCTTTTTTATAAGGTTTCTAATTATATAACTTATAAAAGAAATAAATCTCTATATTAGCTTATTGATTTGATTAATTAAAATCTTTTTTTGATTATTAAAAAGTATTTATTCTATATTAAAAAGGAATTATTTTCTTGAAATAGTTTTATCTTTATACTATTAAAAAAGTATAAATTGATTGATTTTAAAGAAATTAGCTATTTTAATATAATTAGAAACTCAATCCCTTTTCAAACAATTTAATATAAACTTTATATAAACCTCTATAAATATATTATCAATATTTAAAATTATAATATTAATATTTTCAAAGTTATATATATAATAAAAATGTATACATAGTAAGAACAATAATTATTGAAAATAATTTATCAAGATAAAACTTCTAAAAAATTTATTTTCTAATATAATATTGAAAATAATTTATTGAAATGAAATTTATAAATATTTTATTTTCAACTATTATATCAAAAATAATTTATCAAGATAAAACTTTTAAGTATTTTATTTTTTAGTATAATATTGAATATAATTTATTAAAATAAATCTTTTAAATATTTTATTTTTAATTATTAAAATAAAACTTCTTAATATTTTATTTTTAACTATTATATTGAAAATAATTTATTAAGATAAAACTCTTAAATATTATATTTTTAAGTATAATATTGAGAATAATTTATTAAAATAAAATCTTTAAATATTTTATTTTCTATTATAATATTGAGAATAACCTATTAAAATAGAACTTTTAAATATTTTATTTTTATTTCTAATATGATATTTAATCTAAAAAAAATTTATTAATCAAAATTCTTTTTATCAATTAAAATCTTTTTTGGTTATTATTTTAAAGATATTTTATCTTAGAATATAATATTAGAAATATTAATTTCAATTTAAAAATTCTTTTTTAGAATTTAGATTTACATATATTGATTATAATTTAAAATTAAAATATATAATTAAAAAAATATTTCTATATTTAATAATAAAAATAATTTATTATTATAAAAGTTTATATAAAAAATATTTAAAAGGAAAAAAATTATATTATTATAAAAGTTTATATAAAAAATATTTAAAAGGAAAAAAATTATATTATTTTCAATTAAAAATTTAAAATAATGAAATTTTATTTTTCTTGGAAATAAATAATTTTAAAATTTATTTCGAAGAATTTTTTTTAAAAATATAATTAAAATATTATATTTGAAAATATTTCATTTATAATAAATTATTATATATATAGATTATTAAATAATTTAAATAATTGAGAAAATATTAAGGATTTTTAATTCTAATTTTGAATTTATTATAATATTTTAAATTTAAAATATAAATTTTTTATTTTTTTTTGAATAAAAGATATATAATAAATATTTTTTGAATTTGAAAAAAAAAAAAATTTTGAAATATAAAGAATAAAATATTTTTGAAATATAAGAAATAAAAAATATTTTGAATTTGAAATAAGCAATATTTTTGAAATATAAGAAATGAAATATTTTTTGAATTTAGAATAAAAAATATTTTTGAAGTATAAGAAATAAACTATTTTTCGAATTTGAGATAAGAAATATTCTTTAAGTATAAAAAGTGAAATTCTTATTTTTATTATTTTTCAAAATATTAAAATGATTTTTAATAGAATAAATTAATATCAAAATTTAAGAAAATTCTTAATTAATTATATATATAAATTATTAAATAATCTAAATAGTTAAAAAAATATTAAGGATTTCTAATTCTAATTCTAAGTTTATTATAATATTGAAATAATTTGTTTTTAAATATTTCATTTTTAAATATAATATTGAAAATAATTTATTAAACTGAAATTTGTTAATATTTTATTTTCAAATATAATATTAAAAATAATTTATTAGAACGAAATTTTTAAATATTTTATTTTAAAATATAATATTTTATTTTTAAGGTATAATTTTAATTATAATTTATTTTTTAATATAATATTGGAAATAATTTATTAAAATAGAATTTATAAATAATTTATTAAGATTAACTTTTTAAATATTTTATTTTTAAGTATAATATTGAAAATAATTTATTAAGATTAATTTTTTAAATATTTTATTTTAAATATAATATTAAGAATAATTTATTAAAATGAAACTTTTTAATATTTTATTTTTAATTATTATATTGAAAATAATTTATTATAATAAAACTTTTGAATATTTTATTTTCAATTATTATTTAAAAATAATTTATTAAAATGAAACTTTTAAATAAAATATTTTTATTATAATATTAAAAATTATTATTTTTAAATAATTTTTTTTAATTATTACATTAAAAATAGTTTATTAAAATAAAACTTCTATATATTTTATTTGAAGATATAATATTAAAAATAATTTTTTTAAAAGAAAAATTAAAAAAAAATTTATAAATTTAATTTTATAAAATATTGATTATAATATAATATTTTTTTTTCATATAAGATATTGAAAAGAATTTATTCAAATAAAACTTATAAATATTTTATTTTAATTATTATATTGAAAATAGTTTATTAAGATAAAACTTTTAAATATTTTATTTTTAAGTATAATATTAAAAAAAATTTATTAAAATGAAACTTATAAATATTTTATTTTTAAGTATAATATTGAAAATAACTTATTAAAATAGAACTTCTAAATATTTTATTTCTAATATAATATTTAATCCAAAAAAAAAAATTTAATTAAAAAAATTTTCAGTTGTTATTTTAAAAATATTTTATTTTAGAATTCTCCGCAAACAATTGATCTTCGGAAATTGTCAAGAATCAATTCATAGATACAGAATTCAATAGACAACATTTTCCTACATCTTTTGGATGGCGCAAATAAAAGTTCTATTGGCTGAAGCTCTCGCGGTACTGGCAGAGAAGAATGCTTTGGCGATTTGAATGCCGAACCTCTATATCACAAGAGATTCTCCGCAAACAGCTGGTCCTCGGAAACTGCTGAGAATTGTTTTATTGATAAAAGTTCTAGTGGAGAATATTTTCCGATATTTCTTAGACAGCGCAACTGAAAGTTTCATTTGCTAAAGGTCTCTTGGTGTTAGCAGAGTAAAATATTTTGGCGATTGAATGCCCGAACTTCTATATTTAGTAAACATTCTCCGCACACAATTATTGGTCGGAATATGTTGAAACTACATTCATATATGCTAGATCCAGTGGAGGATATTTTTCGATATTTTTGATGAAGCGGAGTCTATAGTTTATTTTGCATTAGGTCCCACTGCTATTAGTATGTGGAGCTTCGGGGGGTTTGGATGTCAATTTGTTTTATTTATTCAACGACACCTGGCCGTGAATACTCGCAAACCTATTCATATATGTAAGAGTCATTCATATACATTTTCCGGCTTTTGGAAGGAAGCGGAATTGAGTAGTTGTCTTGATCTAGGTCTCTGTACTGACGGAGTAGAAAACTTAACCATATCTAGATACCAGATATCAATACCTGATGAACGTTTTCCTCACTCAACCATAGATCGCAAATTTTTTTAGCTATACTGATACATATTAATCTAGTCCGCCAACAATTTCCGGCAATTCTCATATAGCGTAAATCGTCGATGCTATAGATCTGTATATGAGAACCAGGTATGTTTGGGTGACAAACTTCTGCATCCGTGAACACTTTCCGCTCACAACAATCAATCGTAAAGACATGAAAATCTATCGATATAGAGAGAAAGAGCTTAAAAACATTTTCCGGGGGGTTTCAGAGCGCGGAAATTCATATTAATAGAGTCCCTTCAACAAGACATAGATGTGTGTAAACGACAAACTTCTACACTCATAGACATTTCCGGCATGAAAGCATTGATCGGAAAACCCTCGAAAACCTGTCAATATATGCGAAACTAACTCTCAGATATTTCCCGGCAGTTTTCAAAATACGGGATTGAAGTTTGGTCATGAAATTCAAGTCTCAAGACACTATCCCCTGGTGGAACTAGTTTTTATAATGGTCATTCTATTTACCAAGACTTGATTCATTCGGGACCTTAAGCGATTTTTGAGCTATTTAAGCCTTGTTTCTAAAAGAAATCCATCCATTTGAGACTATCTCTCTGCTTTGCCAAAGTTGTCGTGGGTTAAAAAATCGTTGTAAGTACATCAAGTCTTTCTTCCTCCGTTTTTTCTCCGGCTTGTTTAGCTTCCAACTTTTTAAAATCAATATACATATGTAGAAATTCCTCTCCGAGTTCACTCAATGGCTCACTATTTGCTTTCCCTTCTAATGCAGTTATGGCAGCAATAAGAGAAAGCGGAAGTTTTGTGTCCCAATTCAATTCCGCCACTTGCTCCCGACTCATTTCTGCCACGAGACCTGGAAATCATTAGTTGGGTCTTGATTAAATACATTTAAATTACTCACTTTGAGGATTCTTCCATTTCAATAGTAATTTGTTTCTCACGCCCCAAGTTCCAGCTGTAATCCATGCAGATAAAACATAAAACATATTTGCCATTTGATCCGCACATCTAATTTCCCAATAACCTATTCTTCCAGATATTTTTCTTACGGCGATATCTTTATCTTCTTCTCCCCAGCCAACCCAAGTACCAATAGTACCTCTATGCCCTCCTAATCGATGATAGCTATCATGATTTGGCATACTGAATCCACATAAAGCCGGGAGATTGTCAAGAATGCCAGCCAAAAAATTATCAGCAATTTCTTGTGTCGTATTGTCAATTGAGAAATGAACATGAGCTCCAACAGCTATTTGAGATGGTGATAATACAGGCTTTGGAAAGAATGTCGCTTTGAATCCATGCTTTAAAGAAATTGTTTGGATAGCTTCCTTACAATAAACAAGTGTATCGATTGCTTCGATTGGTCTCAATGGACCTGTTGGAATTTCAAACATTCCGTGTCCAACTTCACTATGAAAATGAGTTGCTTCAATTCCAGAATTCAATAGACATCGAATGCATTCCTCTATCAGTTGAGATATAGTCCTATCTCTAAATGCCGCCGCACCATAAAATTGACTCACTTGCTTTATTGATCTCTCTCCGTCGATTCTGGCAAGGTGGAATTCGAGTTCAAATCCTATAAGAAATTGAAATCCTAGTTTCTCTGCACGATTCAAAGTTTCGTATAATATTGATCGAGGATCTCGTTTCCAAGGTGGAAAATTTCGACTCATTTCTTTGACAAAACACATGACACTGGCATGTGTCTCTCCATTTTCCACATAAGAACATAATCGAAGACTTTTCCAATCTGGATAAAGTTCATCATATCCAGCCGGTTGAAATCGAGTTATGTTTATTGAATCATCTGGAAGACAACCAAGGCTAAGGCAAGATACTTTGAGAGGTTTCTCGGCCAAATTGAGGGCATGAGATTTGGCGACAGTTATTAATCGTAAAACATTTCCAATATCCAGGAATTGATATCGAATAAATTCTACCTCGGGGTTAAGGTCCAGAAATTTAACAAGACTTTGGAAAGATGGTCTATTTGGCAGAGACATAATAGATTTAGATGTGATTTTCGTGATTGTGATATTTTGAGACGGAAATGGCGGAATATTGAGGGATTGGATTTTTTTCCTAAAGTCTTGAGACTCCAGATTCAAGATGATACGGACCTTATTTAATCATTCGATATATGTAAGATGTTAGTTGGATGTTCGGCGCTGACTGTTGGTTTTGTTTAGATATCCGTCTTTATTGGTTAAATTGTGGATTCCAACCCCGAATCAACAGGGCATCTTAATTGAATTGGGCTTAATGCTGACGGCTTGCAGCAATCACGCTTATTCTGCAAATATCTTCTTTCCTATTGGCTTATTCAATAATTAACCGTTGGAATAAGGTGCATGTAACTGGGTGGTTCCAGTGGGGATCATGGACAATTCCACATACAACCCTAAAACCGAGGGACCAAGATCAACTATCATCGGAACTTTACCAAACGACAGTGATCCAATTACAATCACTCGAAGTAACGACTGCGTAGTTTTCAGTCCAATTGATACAAGATTGAGCTTAAAATCTGAAAGTTATGATCATCTTACCCTCAATCTGAGCTCTCAAATCATACGATTTTTCGTCTCCATTATGGACGAAAAACCTTGATTCAAGTACCAAACAAATTGGTAGATGCTTTACTATCCATTCATATTCATTAGACAATCACCGACTTAAAATTCAACGTTTTAACAGCATTCAATTTCTAGAAATTTCATCATCACACCAAAACGACCTACTTGAGAGTCCGCAACGCCATGTGCTATTCCGCACATTGAAACTAGACTATTCAAGATTCATAACTATTAGTTGATTCATTCCGGCAATTTTTGTGGTAGAATTCTAATAATCAATGATACTAAGAGCTTTTTGCGTCGAAAATGGGACGCACACTACTACAAGTCTCCGCAGACCAGTACACATCTCCGCTGGTCGCAAATGTTTTTAATCATCTACCAGGAGGCTTAACATTGATTTAAAGTTCCCGGAAACATTGGGCCTCACATCGTTTTGGCGATATCATGACCTTCGAGGAATGATGCAACCGCGAATGTTCGAAACATTTCTGAACTCTCAGTATTCGTGAAAAGCCGCAACAAGAGCATACATTAATTTGTCATCAGATGCGAGTTAAACGAAACTATCATCAATAATTTAAACTTCGGAGTTGAGAATTGAACTACGGAAAGTTGTTGGAAGATTGGGTCAAAAGGGACAACAATCAGAAATGACAAGAAAACGAAGCCAAAAGCTTTTCGGAACCCTGTAAAATATTGGTCGCATAAATCACTTGATCTAAAATGCATTTCCCGCAAATTCCGAGATGAGGAATATATACTTGATGATGAAACTGATGCTGACAAGAATGGGGACACGGGCAATGCAGAGCCAGGTATGAGACGATGTACATGACTTGTGGTAGCGGGATTATGACCGAATCTTGATAGTATAATTCTCCAGGTCAAAAAATCATTTTCATCGAGTTTCAAGATGTGTAATTGAAAGTCGGGCGTACGATATCAATTCAGAAAACGGGTATCTCAATAGGTGGTAAATGAAGGGTTAAATCGTCATCGTGAAGGGCCGGCGACTAGGCATCGGAATTCTGTCGGAGTTTTGATGGTCTAATATTTAAGATCTGAAAATGATTTTTCGTAAGTTCTAAGATGAGGAATGAGAAGTTGAGCGTCGGAAACCAGCTCAAAAAATAAGTACTGAAGTGGAGAGGGAAATTATTATCGTGAAGGGTCAATGATCAGACATCGGAATTTCTCTCAAATTCAATCCGTATGATTGAACGACCTCGAAGAATATTTCCCGCAAGTTTCAGGTTGCGGGACACAGAATCAAACAACGGAAAGCGATCCAAGTAAAGGGGGGCAGGTGAGGGAATTAGTCAACTTACATGATGAGGAATCTATAATCAGTCGGCGCAACTTTGCCGGATATTGATCATAGAATCAAATGCAGCGAAGAAATATTTTACGCAAGTTCCAAGACCCGAAATCAAATACTAGGGGGAGGCAAAAGATCCCCAGACAGTGGTCGGCGAGAAGCAGGAATCCAACACATCGTACCAGGGGACTCACGATGGGGTTGCGGAATTTCTATAAAACTTCGACGATCGACTCCTCATGATTTAATAAATATTCCGGGTAATTTTCAGAGAGTTTTATTGAAATTTGATCTGAGGAAAGTGATTGGTGTAGTCATGTAGCCATTACTCAAATCATCCGGAGATGAACGTAAGGCCTGCCTCTCATTATAATCAATTTCTAAATAGATGAAAAGTAATAGATAGTATTCTAAAGTATTAGGGAAACATTTTCTTGCTATGTAAACATTCAAAGACCAAGTAATCACCAGAATGATCAACAGGACCACCTACAAATCACTAAATGTCAATCTGAATTCAGTCGCAAACTTACAACACTTATCGGAAACCATTGAAACTTGCTGTAGTAATCAATTGAATGTAGCTTAAGTGCGGAAAGTGTTTTCCGAAATGCGTAAATCCATATATCGCTGAGGAAAAGTTGTCATTGGGCGTAAGATAGACATAATTTGTTCGAAGGTTTGATGACAACGGATACCTGCATAATTGATCAAAAAGTATTGAAACTCGCTGTACTCAATAATCAGAAGCTAATGAGCGCTGAAAGTTATTTTTTGAATTGCGAAAGTCTTTGTATAGCTGCAAAGTAGTCGTCGAAGAAGTCATGATGGAGCGCAGTACGGTCGTGATATCAAACGTTTTGACAGCTTAGGAAATTTGCGGAATTTGTAGGAAAGTTATGAAACCCTATATACTGATTCTTCTACAGTTAAAGAACTGCGGAAGCCATTTCTTAAATGTAGGAAAACATCTTTTGGCTGCTCGATAACCGCGCCGCCATGGAAATTTCAAATATGGGTAGTACGGACAGCCTAACAGAATCGGAATCTTCAACTGCTCGTCGTAAACTTCTGAAACTTTGCGGAATGATTAATATTGAGTTAAGCAATTGTAAAAACTTATTTTTGGGCAGCGGACAACATTGTGTGATTGCGGAAATGTCGGAAATGTCACTACAGAGTTTTGTATGGCAATACCCTAACAGGATAGGAATCTTGCAACGCTGGTCGGAAATCTAGGAGACTTTAGGAAATACTTATTTCATGATTTGGGAAGTGCGGAAATTAGTTTTTAACCCGCGGACAACATTTTGTGGTTGCGAAAATGGCCCAAACGACGCAGATGGCACCGTGGAGTTTCATGTGGTGATAAGCTGACAGCATCGGAATCTTTAACAACTGGTCGTAAACTTCTGAAGCTTCCTAAAGTGACCCTTGTAAGTCCAATGAATTGCGGAGAAAGGTCTTTTGGATTAGGAAACGATTATGTGGTTGCACAATAGTAGGAAATGTTGTAGGAACTGACAGACTACACGGATATTCGCAGCCCAACAATCTTGGGCGCGTCATGAGTTAAATCATCCGGATTATATTTTATTCACCCAGGAGACTTTGACAGCGAGTCCAATGTTCAATTGAAGCCAGATCAATCTAACAAACTCGATCTTTGGCATTAGGTGCTGATGGATGTAGCATCAACATCATTGTCTTCACGTAACCAAATATTGATTTCCTAATAATTTTGATTACATTACGCAAAATCTCATGACACTGAGCATCAATATACTAGATTCATTTATGTTTCCGACAAGTAGTTCAGATTTGCGATGTTCTCAAAGAACTGAGTGTATGAAATTGATACACTACCAATATTATCATTCATTCGCAACCACAATTTTGTTCCGTATCATTTTTACTTCTTTCCGCAATAGATTAGAAGATGTTGATTGAAAATACAAACCATTATATGATTCCAAGCAATGAATAAGATTCGCGATCCCTTCAAAGTCTGGGTAAGGGGCATATTCGCTTATATTTTTTTTATAGTCTGTGACTCTCAAAAACGACAAGATTTCAATTTCCATTTATTATTACTTTTTATTAGATAATTACATAGCCCTGACTGAGGGAAATCTTATAGTAAATTAAAAAGGTAGGATTGTATTGGTAGCTAATTTATAATTCAATTGAAACAAGATGTATAGCAGTAAAAGTATCTGGAAAAAAGTGAAATCATATGACTTATTGAATAACAAATTAACAAATGAGAATTTGTAGACCAATATGATATCTTGATGCTTCTTCTAAACAGAACAATCCATTGATGTAATAAAAAATAGGATCAAGTGCATTTTGAAATTTTTGTGATTTTTGTGAGTCGAAGACCATATTGTCGAATTAGCACCTGAGTATTTCTATGACCCTCAACCACATGTGGCATTGAGAATATTTTCAAGTGACTTATTCAGTAGTAGTACTAGGTTTGCCTTACTTGAGGGTATTCATAAATTTCGATTGGAAGGACATGCGAAGCTATCCCATTTTGTGAGAAATGGCTAATCTTCCTGGAAATAAATCATAATATCGAAATGTTAAAGGAACTAAAAATTTCGTGATTTTCTCTTTCCCTCTGACCAAATTCAAGAACATACAAGATTCTTGGGATGCTTTCCAAAACGCATATCAAATGGTAAAGAAACCAAAGGTTCCTAGATTTGCCGACCTTCAAAAATAATGTCTCTCCACAATCAAGCAAGGAGTTTCGACGAGTCATAGAAGCAGAAACATTTTTCAGAACTTTGATAATTCTATTGGTCGAAATCTAGTGAACTGAAAATAAATAATTGCCCTTTATTTCCACACATACGTACTCATAAACGCCATAAAATTGAAAAGAATATCGAAGCTAAAGGACCAAAATGTTTTTCTTACTCCTCCTGACTCCTCTTGATTTGTATTCCATAACTACATAAATTTCTGGCCGAAGTAATTTAACAACAACAAAATACCAATAACTCAATCTCATCATGAGATCCAATAATGTTGTTCAGATATTATTTTTAACTTCATTAATTCTTTTGGCTATATTTATCGCTGTTCCATCAAAAGCTAGATCAAATGTACCGTTTTCCATACCAACATTAGGAACTTTTCATTTCATACCTATATCACGTCCAAATTTAAATACATTCATGCAACAATCCGAAATCATATATCAACGAGGAGTGACAAAAAGAAGAGAAGTTAGACATCATTTTCCAGATCGAGGATTTTTTCCTGCTAAGGATGAAATTACTTTCAAAGAAACTCCATGGAGTATTTGGGATTTAGTTACTCCAAGTTATGGATGTCCATGGGAAATGGAAAGACTCGGAAGAATTGGGGAAGGAGGTTGGTGGATTTGTGGAATTAGTAAATTTATTCAGAAGAAAAAACCTTGTGTGGTCTATAGTTTTGGTAAGGAATTGATTCATGAACGTTGGAAAATTCATGGCTAACTTCGAATCAAAACAGGTATTGGGAATGATTCATCATTCGAAGCCGAAATACTTAGTCGAACGAAATGTGAAATCTGGGGTTATGATCAACATGTGCCGGGATTCAATTTTGGTGAAGAAGTTACGGAAGAAATGAGAGCAAGAGCACATTTTGAAAGAAATGGAGCAAATAGTGCTACAGATGATGCAAATCGACTTGTTACAATTCAAGATATGATGAAAAGGAATGGACACGATTACATGTGAGTTTTCTAAAAGCCGCACATTCCCCTGGTCCTCATTGCCAAAAATCTTTCCTGGACAAGAATTGAAACAGAAAAAAACTAATGGTTCGATTTTTCTGGTAATAGTGACATTTTGAAGACGGATATTGAATATTCGGAATACAATGCTCTCTCATCCCTAAATGGTTATACACTTCCTGGCGGCGCTGGTGCACTTACATCTCCAGATCCATTGAAACCAGAATTTCCTATCGGTCAAATATTGGTGGAAATGCACATCTTTGAGCGGCAGGGTATTACTGCAAGTGTTTATTTGGATTGGTGGGAGAGTATGGAATTTAGGGGATTGAGAGCTTTACATAGAGAAATTGATACAGTAGCACCAGGTATGGGGGTTGAAGGAGGTGGAATTAAATTGTGTAGTGTGAGTACTCAAGTTCTTTTCGTTGGCAAAATAACTGAAATGAAGTGCGCTTAACTGACATTATTCATTTAGTATACATTGCTGAACGTGCAAGATTCGAGGAATAAACTTTATCATAGATAAATTCACTGAGGAGAACATGAGGTGTGGTAGACATGAGGTGTACTGAGGTGTGATAGAAAACTATTTGAAAATGGATTTGACAAGGTGGAAGAGAAACTATTGTTTGAATGGATGATTGAATGTACGAATGGTCGCTCTTTGCTGGCTGCTGATTGCTGATTGCTGGTTGCACGGTTTGACAAATAGACGTCGAGAATGAATAGAATATTGATATAATTACGAAAGTGCATGCGGTGCGAAAGGTTTCAATTATAATTGTTGGACTCTCATGATGATGCAGTTTGAGTTTTGAGACCCATGAACGAGAACAATTAACCCGGCGGCATGAATAATTATCAATCGTGCTTTGAAAATCATCGTATGAGTTGGAATATCTGTATTATATTTACTACATTACAGAGCGACCAGCGTTTTCCATGAATGGTTTTTCTCTGTTGATTAGAACCACCAAATCCATAAATCATGTAGTACTGGGCATTTTACAACCTTTAGTTGCAGCCGCCAAATTCTTCATATTTTGCACAATTCCACCAGCAAAATCTGTCTTCAATTTTGCAACTGTCGCGTTACTACCAGCCACATTACTTGCAGTCAAACTCATGGTTAAATTCAATTCTTCCTGTTGTGCCATTGCAACAATTGCCAAACCAGGTATGGCACCATTTCCTGCTGGAGCTATCTTTTGGTTGTTTTGTCGAATTTGAATTCCTTTTTGAACAAAAGTCATAAGAGAAGATTGTGCTACATCAAACATGGAGGTATTAAAAGGTGATTGTTGAAGAATCTTTCCAACAGCTGTCACAGCTTTTTGTTCATTACGTTGATCTGCAATATTCGAATTGATTCCCGATGCAAGAGCTTGCACTTCTGGTGAACATGCAGTGGATGTTCCAGTTGATTTGGCACCAGCAGAACTTGTAGAAGATTTAGGGTTGGCGTCACCGTTGGTCATGTTCATCTTTTGACGAGATGAAAGACTATACATCTTATTGACTGGTATTGTTGGTTTTGGAGTTGATGGTACTGTTGAAGTTTCGGTTTGAATGGGACTTGCGAGAATAAAGGTACCCAATAAAAGGAAGAGAAAGGAAATGCTCTGGATGGAACTTCGCATCTTGGCGACTTGAATTTTATTTTCTAGGAATTGAAAATGAGTGTGAGGCTTTGTAAGAAAGATCAACTTTCCCGATGTGTAATACCTGCCTGCTGGTATAATTAAGTGAATTGAAAAAGGATTGTTTGGGATACCAGAACAAGAAATACAAGAGGACAATATAAGATTATATATAAAATTGTAACCCCGCAATGTCAAAAGATTCCATGTATTGAAACCATATGGAAAGGTTTTATGAGACAAACTTTAATGCGGACGTCATAAACTCACGGGTGTTTGAGGCGACGGAAGGTATTCAGTTGAGGCCAGGTAACGTTTGATATGGAGTTGAGATTGTGATTGTTTGGCTTGTTGAATTAACTTTCACAATCCCGTTTTGATCCAAAACGATAAACTTCCCGACAACCTTGTGGCAGAAGTTGGTGATATCTGTATATGTATCGTGTTGGGCATCGAAAAGAAATATTGAAAACACCGGGGAAAGAACATTTCGCAACCTACTCTCAATCTGACAATAGTAAAGTCTTGTTTTCACTTGATGTTTTGGTCTAACGTTTGACTGGGAATGACGGAAGCTGCGATTTTACAGCATTTCGATGAGGGGTAAATTCATAGAGTGTGCGCAAAGCCTGTGATCTCCTGGCCAAGAAAGCTTCTTCTGGCGACGACTGTATTCAAGAGTCGAAAAGCAAATCCGAATACTTTGCATAAATTTATCCGCGACATCATGTGCCCCAGCTTTGTTTCTGGAGAAAGTTTATGATCGCACTGACGAACAGTTAAAAGTTCAGACGATTTCAAATGGCAAATAGCAAATAGCAAATAATCAATATAAAATTAAAGATGCTACTGGAGTGGCTGTGAATTCCCCAGTTTCATATTCTCCTTCGACTGCCCAATGCGATGAACTATGAAAACAAACGCAAGGGTATGAAGGATATTGAAATAGATGGATAGTCGAGACCGTGAATAGATTGTGTTTGTGGGTTGCAAAAGGCTAGATGGATCAAATCAGGAGATTTCTCATCCCGTAACTCATGATTTTTAGACAGATACTCGAATAGATCGATCCGATATCCTGATAATGCGAAAAACAATATTTGAGAAGTCTCAAAATTATTCGCGAGTAAGATTTGGATGACTTCCATTTGACACGCTAAATTACGAACTCACAGCGCCTTGGCCCCACCATTTACTCAGGCGTTAATAGGCATGATAGGTCTATGATGGCTTTGGCAAGAATGATCATGGTGTGTATATAGCTTGAAGCACGTACACTTAGAATAAATTACCCCCCCCCCCCCCCGAGCCTCCTCTACCTCCGCAAGAAAATGGCTTTCGGCGCGAACTCAATCACCACTGCGCTTTCAACAAACAACAAATAATTAATGCTGTATTTAATTGCATATTTGGATAGCCGCGAAGAATAATTTCAAAAGGCGAGATGAATTGATCAAGGTGAATACATGAGAACCCGACGTTTCAAATGACGGAATGACTGATTGGATTTGAGCTGACTGTCCCACAACTAGATCACAGAGCGACTCGGTCGACCAATCAATTTCACGACAACATTAATGCGGTAGTTTGCGAAGCTTTTTGAACTCTATCATCAGAATGGCAGAAGAAATATTCTCGGCGGCAGAACTACACCCGCTGCGAGCATTCTACGATGATTGGATTTGATCATAGCGTCTTTTAAGTGCGCGATTCGGAGAGGCCCAAATAACTTCCACAGAACAGGGACTTAGGCGTGCGAAATCAAAGAACTTTACAAAACGTCAATTCAATCTGCGGAGCATATACTGTTTGGTTCGTCGGAGTAACTTCACGACCGGCGGTGCGTTGAGGTCAAGCCCGTCCAAAGAGTTGATTGCTTCGACTTCAGATGGGAATAGCTCGCGAAGCCAAAGGGACGCAGGGCGCCGGTGGATATTTCAGACAGATTGAGATACATGCTCGCTATGGCTACGAGTAGATGCATTACCGTCGAATTATTCAGGCAGTACTACCCACACAAATGTCGAATTGACGGTCGACTGGGTGAAACTTGTTGCGCAGAACATCCTCCCGCATCTTTTCGCACCTTTCCGCACCTTTCCGCACCTTTCCGCACCTTTTCGCACACCGTCATAGAGAATCTCAGAGGCTGTTAAGAAATAGTCTAGGGCCAAAAGAACTTTTATCTATTCGCACTTTCAAAGAATGGTGTCAAATCATCCTTGAGGAAATTCGGAGGGTCAATGTTCAAAATGGTTGAGAGCAAAAGAGGAGGAAAGAGACAATAGAAACCGCCAGTGTCAGACTACCAGCAGGTACCACGCTATCTTCATTTGTTCGAAAAGAGACAAAAGTCGAAGAATTATTCTTTTGGGCGGAGAGAGTTTTGGGAAAAGGGGATACGCATCGGCACCCCGCACCAAATGACAGCAAGCTAGGTTCCAGTATTTGTTGGCGTTCCCAAGGTTTAACATTGAGCGATCCTTGGGGAGATGTCAATTGAGAATATTCGAATTGTTTGAAAGCAAAAGAGGGTTTGGGGGTGGGAATTAGAGATTGGGGTATAGGGTGTGTTTTTAGTTTGTAGATGAAAGCATTCAAAAGTTGCTGGATTTGAAGGGTTGAGCTCTCAAGTATTTCAATATCATCATTCGATATTCCCCGCATCTACCATACATTATTCCCAACATCATGCTTTCAATGTCCCAAGCCAGTGTATGCATTTAAATAAATAAACCACATCTTTCCTGTTAACCACCAAAAGCCTCCAATCTTTACCAACCACCATTGGAAATTCAATAAATCCTCCCATCCCAAAGCAATCCAATCAGAAAGCCACATCTTGAGCAGTATCCTCTGGTATAACATCGAAGTGACATTATCGGTGTGCTTCAGAATGTATTTGTCAAATGAAGAAAATAAATTCCCAGTAAGAGCATCAGAATCAGCATGAGAGCATATACGAGTGGAATGAATTGCTCGGAAAAATACACAGGTAAGAGTATTTTCATCCGATGAATGAAAGTTTTCTGGCACTGCTTGCTTCTCTGACTTCAAAGGGCGTGTCCATAAAAGATTCAAGTGAGAGATAGATACAGTTTCATTTTTCGATTCCATTTCAAACCCTTGTACGATGTCGACATATTTGATGAATTGGGTGTAGAAAATCGGTGTAAGTACTGATATTTCTATGGGTTTTGCTAATTCCGGTGATATTTGAGCTGACGGAGAAAACATGATTTCTGGGGTATTGTCAAGAAGCCCAGCAGGTCTGTACTTCAAAACTAAAGGCTTGTCCGCTAGCTCAATAAGGTGTTGTAAGAATTGTCGAAATGATCTCTCGATAGACATTTGAGTTTTATCGGCATGTCTTGAAATGGTCTTTTTGAATGGTTCCGGACGCGAAACCCAGGGTAAGGACCGTTTGAAAAATAATTTGGAGGCTTGGACTAATGTTCGAGGGAATGTAGCGAATCCTACCCACCACCATGATAGTAGAAATTCAGTCTTCTGGAATATCGACATGGTAGATGGGTCGAATGCATGGCCATCAGAGAAGACTCTTGCTACTAAGAATGGACGTTCAGTAGAACTAAGCGTCAATGTGAGATCCAGAGGATTATGTCCAGAAAGCGATGGAAAAAATGGATCAGAAGCTGAGACGGAATAAGAACCACTTCGAGAATTGAATGGAGAAACATAAAATTCCTTGGACCAAGTACTTGTGAACCTTGGTGGTTTGCCTTTTTGTTCCTCTATTTTGGAATCTTCCGCATCTTTTGGTGTAACAAAATAAGTATGACGTTCATCGAATGTGTTATTGACTTCGAGGATAACAGCTTTCAATTCTCTATTCCTTGAATAAAGGTTCCAAATTGAAACCGGATTATTTTGATACCCAAGAAACTTAGAAGATGTCAAGAGATATGCAAATGGATAATCTTCATGATTTAAACCCTAGATTTTGTCAGCAGTATCCTGAACATATGAAAAATCGAAATTACCTGATCGTGAAGAAATCTTTTCAATTTTCCTTCTAATCCGCCAGAGACGTGACCCCTCTCCAAATAATAATCTCCATCCACGACATACCAAGGACTCATTGGTTGAAGGGATAATAATCTTCTATACCATGGGAGTCCATCATTCTTTTCATCGACTGAAATCATTCCTCCTGAAGAGCCTGTCCAACCAATGGGTATGCCCGTTAAAAGATAGGAGTATGAGAAACCATGTCTCTTTGGAAATAGCCTCAAATGACTTGTTTTCGTAGGAAAGAGCATAGGCTGCAAAATTTGATCATCTAGATTGGTAGATGCTATCTGAAGCCCTCGGACATATCGAATAATTTGAAGAAATGAAAACAGCACACCTGTGCCCGTGGCAATGGTAATAATGGTTGATAGGTCAACATATTTCTGGATTGATTGTGAAAATGAATGTCTATTCCGTATAATCGAAAAAGCGAAAATAGTTGATATATCGGACACTGATCCGAATAGTCCAATGAGTGTGATTGAGGTGAATGCAAAATAAGAAACACCCATGACGCGGTTTGGAAATCTAGGGGAGGCGATGTTGAGTTCTTTGATGATGCATTTTTCTATTTGAAATGTTCCTAATCTCAAGAACTATGAATCGTGAGGAAACCGAAGGTAAAGGTAAATACGGGATAGCCTCTATATATAAGACCTCAAGGTTCTCGTATGATAGAATAGCAATGACGTTTTAGAGTTGTCTGAAGATGTAAAATACACGATGCATATGGTCAATGGGTACGTACTGGTACACTACTCTTAGAAATCAAAGTCTAGAGTCATACAAGGATATATTGCCATACCATTTCATCTCAATACAGTAAAGTTTCCCTTCCACGGCACTCACCGCTTGACGACATAACTTAACCCTGCTTACATAAGAAATTCTTTTTGTATCTGATTCATTCGGCGAGAGGAAGCGCTATTCAATTGCCACAAATAGAAGTCATCAATCCTTCTTCAGCTTTTTACAACATACAACCACATCAGCGTCAAATACCCTCGATAAATTTCCGGAATTCCTTTACTTTCAATTAAACATCCCATCCTTTCAAGCAACACTTTTTAATCAAAAACCCACATAAAAATCAATCACCATGGATGACTGGGAGTCAACTACAAAGATTGGAAAGAATGTTCGTGGAGGAGCTGGCGCAAACAGAGAGACTGTCATCAGAGGAGCTGCTGCATTGAATGCTGCTAAGAGAAGTGGAGGAGCTATTACTACTGAGAAGAAATTTGCTTCCGGTAATGCTGTAAGTCGAATCCATTCAATCATTAACATTTACCCCGCGACCCCGCGACCTTCTTTCTGCAAGCCTTACATTTGACCGCCATAAACCATAGACTAACCTATTCAAATAGGGCTCTTCAGGAGAAGGTCAACATCTCACCAAAGTCGATCGCTCCGATGAAATCATTAAGCCAAAGACCGTTGGTATGGAAGTAGCCCGAGCCATCCAAGATGGGCGCAAGGCCAAAAACATCAAAACCCAAGCCGACCTCGCCAAATTATGCAACACTACCCCAAAGATTGTCAACGACATGGAAAGAGGTGTCGCCACTCCTGATCAAAAAGTTTTGAACAATATGGAACGTGTTTTGGGTATTAAGTTGCGTGGAAATGATATTGGAGGTTCCAAGTTTGGAGGACCAAAGAAAAATGCTACACCTGCTCCTGCAGCAAAGGCAGCACCCGTTAAGACTACAATTAAGATTGTTCCTCCTACGGCTGGGCCACCGAGTGCGAAGAGTGGAACTCCTGTTTCTGGTACCCCTAAGACTGGTACTCCAGGTGGAGCGGATGATGATGAGTAAATGCGGATAGTGTGATGATGTTATAAGGGGGCGAGTCCTAGCAATGAGTATTGGTGGACGGTAGATGGTGAATGGTAGCTACTTCAAGCTATGGAGTTTATGAATAGATGAGATGCATGAAAGAATAAATGAAAGCATTAGATATCAAGAGGTTTTCATTGCGTTGGATTTCAATGTTATTATACCTGGCGATTATGGTCCATCAGAGTAGATAAATCATTTACTCAATTCAAACCTTTTTCTCCAATTGATTCACAATGTCTTGACTGTTTCCTGGCGAAGCCTGTTCTTCCTACTAAAGAACTTTTCTCCACCTGACCTTTCTTGTTCGATCTTGGCCGACACTTGAACAAGATCTCTGTTTCGGATGCACTCTAGCTGCCTCAGTTCGTAATGAGCATGCTTCCCTAAAATGGTGCCGAAGCGATGCAAATAGTTGGCCCGAAAGACAACGCTCGGCATGGAAAGACTGGTAGTGGGCACCTGATGCCGCTGTGATTCCACTTGTGTCAGTAAACAAAAGGTCATTCAGTAATTATTCATTCCGTTTGGGGTTTCTGGTTATACAATTCTATTCTTCCATCCCTTCTTCCTTCCTTCCCGTCCATTGCTCCTCGGTCCTGTATCCTGTATCCTGTATCCTGTATCCTGTATTCTGTATCCCGTATCCTTCAACAAGCTGGGTAAAACTAACAAACCATAGTACGTCGCGCTCCTAATATATACAAAACAAGGGTATCTTTTTCAACCAATACAATATACAAAATCTTAAGAGTCATTTTCCAACACTCACGATATTCAACTCAATTTGAGGTTCAAGCAGCTTGGGCTTTCTTGACCCTATCCTTAACATTCTCCTCCAAAATCTTCTTCTCCCTATCAAAAACCACCGCTTCCATCTTCCCAATCCTAGCCAATTGAACCCATTCCGGCGCAATCTCAACCGCTAATAACTTCACAACAGTAATCGCTTCGTCTTTCGATATAGGAGTCTTGAATGAATCTTTCAATTTTCCAATTAAAGTCGGCATGGTGAAAGATATTCTTTGCTGGCCAGCTGATCCCGACGTACTCAAAATACTGAGAACCTTGACAACTTCTTCCATTCTTGATAAAGCTGATTTGCGCGCTACTTGCGCAGGAGAAGGGGCTTGAGGAAGGAGAGATTGTTTAAGTTGTTTTGCGCGGAGACGCTCGAGAAGTGTAGGTTTCTTTTCGGTGGAGGGAGGGGAGGAGGTATCTGTAGAAGTCGCAGCTTGAATAAGAGCGGGGGATGATTTCGTTCTTCTGAGATCTTTTTTAGCAACAATACCGGCTTTCATATCTTCCAGCCGTCGTTGACCCTTGGCGAGGAGGGGTGTCATTTTCGAGAGCGAAGAACAAGGTGTGATTGGCTCCGATGGTAATTGCTTGATGAAGTCCTCAATAGCAACATTCTCCTCTTTCAATTCCCACTGACTTATTAATCTTTGCGAAAATATCTCATTGAGTCTTTCTTCATCAATCGGTCTCAAGTTATTACCCTTTTCGCCCCCATTCCCAGCTTCAATTTCGACACATATTTTCCCGGATCCATAATCTGATAGAGTGATTGTAGAAATCTTTTGATCTTCTGCGTCAACTTTGACATGAGAGTTCAAGACACCAAGAGCCCGGCTGATATCATCCAGCATGACCTTCCGTTTTCCCCATGCTCTGGCAACATCCGGACAGAGATTCCGTAAATCTGCGGGTGCATTAGATCCATTGTGGGCGCAGTGGAGGGTAAGTGTTGTGAGAAGTGCTGCGTGAAGATTGATAATATCGATGAGTTCAGTAGGGAGTGGTTCCTTAAGGTCGTCTTGTTGACTTGCTTCCTCCTTTCCTTCGGCGTCAATTTGTGAATGTTCAAGAGGAAGTGTCGAAACCTCCGTGCTACAATTCGAAGAAATAGATCGTAGAGATGAAAGAGACGGTCTTTTTTGAACAGGTCTTTTGGGGGTTTGTAGAAGGAGACGATCGAGCAAAGTGCGCGCGCCTTTTGTTGGGGTATCGGTGGTGATTGAGGATGTTTTGATAAGTTTGTGCGGTGTTTGTGGAACTTTCGACGGGAGGACCAGTTTTGATGGAAGTGTTTCAATTTCTTTGGCAGTCGTGGCAGTCGCAGTCGTAGTCGTTGCTATCTCAACATTCGATTCCTCCTCTGCATCCAACTTTCTCTTTCTTAAATTCGTAGAAGGTTTATCTAACTTAGTTACTGACACTGATGCCACATTCGCTTGTCTATTCTTTTCAAGTATTGACTTTGCTCCACCCTTTGTAATTGCTTTTGAAATCGTAGTAAAGGAAGTCAATGGTTGAATCTTGGTGGTTGCTGCACTTCTCGAAGAAGGCGCCGCGACCTTCCTTTTCTTGACCGCAGAAGGCATGATGGAAATTGTGATGGAAAGCAAGAATCACCAAAAATATACAAGGCAAGAATTATACAAGCAAAGTTTGTGAATGCAGTCAAAGTAAGATAGCAAAACTGAAGGTGCCCAAGTGTTAATTACTTTCGTACAAAATTTGAACAAGTTGGTTGATGGAGGAACGAAAGTTATGAATGAATTCACGACGCGTATAGTGGTCAAAGCGTGTTTTAACGCGTTAAGTGATTTTCATAATAGTATCTGTACGGAAATGGAACACATGTAAACCAATCAACTACCACCGACCTTTCGTATATCCAGTGATGCTAACATAGTGCTTACTGCTATAATTTAATCGAGACCTCATTTTTTTGCACAAGGCCAATTTCTGTCAAATACACACACCACTACAAATTCACAAGCACCAAAGGTAGAATCCTTTATGATAGCCAGCCGGCAAGATGTTATACACCAGCAGCAACAATTCATTTCAGTGGTAGTGAGGTACCCAGCTAAGCTATTGAGAGTGTCGTGTCGATTATCAGTAAGAAGAACAACCTAAGTATCATCAAAGCATACATTTTGGCCTTAAAGTATTCTGAGGCTACTATACTAGGTAACCAGAATCTCTCAAGAAAAAAGTCAGCAGTCAAAATTACCGTCTTCAATTCAAGAAAAGTGCAATTTTTATTGCAGTTTCGACTTCGAGAAGCCTCCGCGACTTCGTTCAAAGTCTATTTCTGGAAAATTGGAAGAAACATTGTTAGGTCCGGGCAAGGCGCGTTATTTGAGAATATTCTAGAGGCAACTATTGAAGGTGCAGAATATCCTCCATCAAACGAAACATACTGCAATTAAACCTCCGCCATATACTGACAGCATACAAGCAGCTCTTGGCATATAGCGACATGTCTCTCCCTTTCCTCCAAACTTTCCCACGAGAGATCCGCGACTTAATTTACACTTTTATCCTCGCAGATCCGAATGGTATCATTACTCTCTCGCCATGGTCTATGGAAGTTGCGCAGTCCTTTTCCATACTCCGAACATGTAAACAAGTACACAGAGAATGCAAGGAAATAATCTGGGAGCATAAAGGACTGAAATTGCGGGAGCTTCCTATCTTAAAATCCAAGCTCGAAAAGAGGATTTCAATGCTTGGCGAAACAACGCGATGGCATATATTCATACAATTGGAGGTATTAGATTGGGACGAATTAGAGTGGGTTGAGCGTGGTCTGGCAGCAGTGGCAGGGTCTCTACAAAAATTGCATGGTATTACAATCAAAGCGAGCAAAGAACGGCCACAAACAGTCGAGGAATTTGAGGATATTCTCGACCTAAGGGAAAACGGTGAAATAGTCGATGGAAGGTTATATCAAGAGTATCCTGGAAATGCTTCGACAGACAAAGGATATCGAACTTGGATGATAAACACTAGTTGGCCTCGACTGTCTCCTTGGGCCAAGAGAAAATGGTTGGCAGAAATGCTAATTGACACGACAGATACAAGCAAGCTATTAGACAGGATTCATGACCAATTTGGCGGGCAATTATATGTTGATGGGGTCTTATATTTAAAAGATGGAAAACAAGTTGTGAAGGGTTTGAAGCTTGATTCAAGAGATGGAGAGCTCAAAATTACTCCCAGACACAGGTAGGAATTTGTTCAACGGGGTTGAAGACGTTCGTATGATTTTAATTTCTTTTGGGGGGGAGGGGGGGAATGAATCCAAATCCATTGGGAATTATTTATAGGTTCATAGTTTCTAGAATATTCAAAGCTAGCCCGGACTTGGGCTATCAAACTACTCCGTACCTCTCAAAACTCGGAGTTTGATTCAATCATTGGAACCAAATGTTGTGTATCATCCGAAGATCGTAATACTGGGGTCTCGATTATGATGATCAATTCATTCACTCGTTCACTCGTTCACTCACTCAATTGACCCTTGTGAAAATCATCGGAGAATATCCGAATTGTGGGTTACCGGCGCTGGTCACAACTTTTTAAGCCGCGCAATTAATGATGTACAAAGAGGCTGACACTGACAATACCGTTTTCTTCACCTGCAACTGCTATGTGTAGCACATGACATTCTTTTCTATTAAATGTGCGGATTTCACTATATGTGACAATATAACACCATTTTTATCTAAATTTTAAAGCTCGTAGCTCCTTAGCCTTGATCTCCAACCCCCCGCAACCCCCTCCATCTTCTCCGCAATCCCCAGTCCTCATATACCAGTTCCCAGTTCTCATAAACCAGTTTCCAGTCTCCAGTCTCCAAGTCCCAAGTCCTAGGCTCAAAATGCGAATCAAAACACATCTCAATATCTTAATTGATATCCCACGAGAAATTCGAGACGAAATATACGAATATGCCTTTCAAACTCCATTCAATTGTGTCACTTACCGTTGTACCTTAAACAATACTTATAAAATACTACCTTATGATCCTCAAAACGACATTTGTCTTTCCAACTCCTCACTTCCCGCTCTCGGTCTTTTAAGTACTTGTTCTCAATTATACAATGAAGCTATTATCTCCCTCTGGAAGGTCAATAGCCTCGGACTCTGGCCCGCGGATTTACTTTTTCGCATGGGAAATCTGGGTGATGATACTTTTATACATGTTCAGTCACTACAAGTAAATCTCGATTTGACTGATCCCGATGATTTGAAATGGGCTGAAATGTTATTTTTGAGAATTGGAGGGAACTCTGGTCTTTGTAATGAAAGAAACGAGGGGGAAAGTTGGAGTGGTTTAAAGAAAGTTCAAATCAACCCTATGAGAACCGAGGAAATTAAAATGGATGTTAAATGGATGCAAAGGGTCTCAGAAGCTATGGACTTGCGGTGGAAAAGTGAGGAACTTTTCACTGGTATGAATCCAGATGCGGATAAAAGTTGGGGATTATATTCTCGGTGGATGGAGCTTCTTCGTAAGGCGGGAACACCGGGCAGTGATATATATCTAGGGGACTGGGTAAAAAGGACGGTCAGTGTAAATACGGCTTGGGATGACTGGGTGTATTGGGACCAAAACGAGTGGCTGAAGAAATCACCTCACGGGGCTGGTGTGAAGGGAATGGAAGAAGTGATGGAGGATTTCAGTGAGACTTTTGGAGGAGAATTATGGGCAAATGGGAAGTTGTGTTATAAGGATAAGGATAGACTCAAGAGAGTTTTTGAATTGAAACCGGTCGACCTTCTTGGAACCTATCCAGCGGTCAGCGAGTGATGGATATGCTAATGAATAGAGGGACGAATAACCGTAAGATTTGATCATAGATTGCCCGCGGCTCCTAAATCGTGGTATAGTTATAAAGGATCGACGGAGTTGTGGAATTTCGATGGGCCAGAATAAAGATCCTTGAGCGATTGGCGTTGAAGGGAATGAAGGGCGGTCTTTTAATGAAAAGGACTGGCTTGTGATGAGATTCGAAAGTGCTAGCTATCTTCCAGTTTTTGGAGTTGTGAGTTTCCTTTTAGGTGTACACTGTAGCATTAGGAAAACAGAGGTTGCAAAGCGGGAAAAATTAAGTTGATGAATCTTGACGATGCGATGATGCGACGATGCGGAGGCTACTTGGATGATAAAATTGACGACATATAAAACAGTCACCAAGGACGATCTTCATAATATTGTGGTCAAGATAACTAGCAAGCGATAAATCGATGATATGGTTGGTTTTCCACTGGGTCCATAAATGAATACAATTGGAGGTATGTCTGATACATGAGTGTGACTGGCTGAAATTGTGTCGTACAACTTGGCATGAAAGGCGGCATAGAGACGGCATGAAATATGGGTATCAAGTCTCAATTCTTTATATATCTTTCTCTAGAAATCTACAATCCTCCAGCAGGTGGAACATAAGGAGTAATGAGCATCTCACTAAACTTCTCCAATCTTTCTTTTCCTCTGACTTCCTCAACTAATAATGGCATCTTCACCACATTAAACTCATCATACAACTCCTCAATTTGTTCCAAATACTTCTTCTGCATCTTCCTTCTTGCATTACATTGATCACAATCACTTCCTTTCTTAGGGAACAGTAATTGATTGACCACTATACAATGTGTATCGATGTGATAAGAGCCCAGTTCTTGAATCATACGCTCCGTTTCGTAAAGAGAGAGGAATTCGGGTATGCAGACACAAACAAAAGTAGTAAGATTTTCGTCCTTGAATTGTCCATTTACTTCAGAAATTGTTTCGCGGAGACCCTCTAATTTCTCCATCATTTCGTTGAGATTTTGTCCATTTGGTAGAGAACCATTGGCTCCCAGTAAACCATTCAACATAGGCCCAAATTGTGTGGATAATTGGGAGACTTTCGCAAGGGCTTTCTCAAGAACGGTGGGAAACTGAAGAAAGCGGAGGGTGTGACCTGTTGGAGCGGTGTCGAAAATGATGGTTTCGTAGGAGAGAGATTTAACTTGTTTGAGGACTTCTGCGAACGACATAGCTTCATCAATACCGGGAATCTGCCAAACGCATTAGTAAACGAACACTCCCAGTAATAATTTTGTAGGGGCGAGGAGAACCAACAGCAAAAGCCAAATCTTGCATCATTCCACCCATGCCCGCAGCTGGTCCCTCACCTTCCTCAGCCTGTCCCATAAGTTCTTGGATACTACCGTTTGGATCAATTTCCATAGCACTCAAATTCTCAAAGCCATTAATAAGTCTAGCTTCCTTTCCAAACTTTTGCGAAAAGGCATCACTCAAATTATGTGCTGGATCTGTTGAAATGAGGAGAACTGAACGTCGAACTTTGGCGAGTTGAATGGCTAGGGAACATGATGTTGTGGTTTTTCCTACTCCTCCTTTTCCACCAACAAAGATCCAGCGAAGAGACTTTTGATCAAGGATTGATTGGAGAGTAGGCTCGAGTTGATCGTCGTCAGTGTTGATTACTGCGGTGGACATCTTGATTATGGCGGGATTGTGGCAGGACGGGGAACTGGATGAACGGGGTGAAGATCCTTAATTTATTTGATGATAAGGTAAGATTATATCAAAAATGGCAAAGGACAAAAGGGAACAGGAGAGAGTGATTATTCTGAGTAATCGAAGTCAAGTATGAATGATGGTCGATGTTGTTTCCCGAGTTCCTTGTAAACTCAAAGTTCTTGGTGAGTTCTAGAATTATCTTTTGCCTTCTGACGTCTTCTTCTTGCAAGTTGTCAAACGTACAGTGCGCTAAGTGATTTGATTCGCTAGCCCGGGAAGCTCTCTACCAGGCTTATCATTGGGGACAACACATTTCTCGGGAGTATTCATATTCAAATGTACTCGAGTTTCAAATGATCAAACAATGTCATCGCATTCCCTTCAATTCATATATCCTATGAATACTCATAAAGTCTAAAGTATAATTGAAGTACAAGGCTTATAACTACTGGGTAGTCTTTGCCCCCCTCCCCCTCCCCATCAAGCGTTAACACAAGGCTGAAGCGGCCATCTCCGATTTGCGAGGCAAGCCTTGTTTACTACTAGGTAGGTGTTTCTTTCTCTAGAATCAATTTTATCAATATATAATAATTATTTTTCAATTGTTGTTGCTTCATTCTACAACACCACTCAGTGCATTTCCCTTATTTAAGATCCTTCAAACTTGGTAGAGATTCATGTCACCATTCATCTACCGCTCTCACTCATTCACACCATTTACAGTCGATGCCCCGCAACCCCACCTCTGAACATTTCAACGAACGTCTACAAGCTATATCCTCACAAATTACCCCTCAATCAACATCTGCTTTGCACATAACAGAAATGGCAGAAAGGGATCCAATTACATGTCATGCTCTCGACACTACTACTGGTCGACCAGCTTCGGGAATCAGTGTCTCTTTAATCTGCCTTTCCGAAGAGTCCACCATCTTTCGTGCGATAACAAATGCCGACGGTCGAATCGCTAATTGGCGTAATGAGCAAGAGAATGTCACGTCCAAGAAAGTCGGCGAATTGATTGTTGAAGGGGGAAAGTTGAAGATTCAGAATCTGCCAATGGGTTCTAGCATGTGGAAACTTCGATTTGAGACCGGCGCATATTATGGTTACGAAAACACTTTCTTCCCTTGTGTTGAACTCAACTTCGTAGTTAAGGAAGGAGAGCATTTCCACGTTCCGCTACTATTGGGACCATACAGTTACACGACTTATCGAGGAAGCTAGTTTGAGGTCTTATGCTGTTTAATTCCATGAATGAAGTTATTTCATGATTCTGTTGAGGGAAAGAAATAATTACAAAGGGATACCAATATCAACCTTTCAAATATCCGAACTCCAAATCCATTGAACTCCTCGCTTGCTTGATCAAATCCCATCCCATCCAGTTTTGTGTTGCGTTCTGCGTCCATCAAAATTTCTCCTTCCAAATTCTTAACTCCTGGTTCCTTTTTACCAAACTCCTCTAAACTTTGTGTAAGTTCAACTTCCTAAGCACGCCCTTCCTTCTGTCTCCTGGTCTATACCCTTGATCATCTCGATCCTCCATTTCCACAAATTCTTCTACCGTTTTGGGTGGGTCGATCAGATCGTTTTGTTTCTCGACATCCTTTTCTATCGTCTTCATATCGCCACGGACATGATTACCGTTTGTATATTCATTGTTCTCATATAAAGGCACGCTTAGATGTGATCCTTTATGTCTGCTATGAAGTCTCCTGATGGAAAGTCGTGAATGAGAACGATAAATGTCAACTTCTGTTGATTCGAGGGTTGCAAAGGGTGAGGTATCTGCTTCGGGGTGTGGGAGTGTTGTATTACGATCTATTCTATTGTCAGCTTGTTTCCTTGGATTCTCGACATACATGACCCCTCTACATAAGATCGGGAAGGAAAGGAGGAATAATAACATACCATGACTCAAAGGCTCCGGAAATCCTGTATCCTTACCCAGAGAATTTCTCTCCATCCCTAAAGGTTCTTGCATATTCGCATTCATACTCTCATTATTGAAGGTATAATCAAAATCGCCAAATACCTCTCGTCGCTTTCGGGATAGTCTATGACTGGATCGAACACTTAAATTTAGAGTGCTACTAGAGGAGGAATCGATTGAGTCGGATGTTGTAGAAGTTGAGGAAGTTGATGAGGAAGGTCTTCGAAATGTTAGGACATTGTGCCAGAATGAACCCGTCATTTTGTTTGATTTGTATTCTTCTTTGAGGGGAACAAGAGTGAAGGTATTGTAAAGAGATAGATAGGTATGGTCGAGGTAATAAAAGGATCTTCAATATGAGTGAGACAATTGAGAGAAGTAATATGTAAAATGGTTTTCGTGAGGTTCAACAAGTTGCTGACTCTATTCCTTCCTGTTTGGTGTAGGCTTGCAGTATGCAGAAACCTAAATATGCAATGGCTCTCAACTATGAATCCTGTTCTCCCACACCGTATTCTGGGATACTCGAGAGTTTTCACTTATTGGCTCTGGCTCACAGATGGATTCTCTTGACTGTTGGCTTGATTGATTGATTGATTGATCGATTGTGTAAAGGGAAATTCATTCCAAACCCCCCAAACACAAACGAAATAACAATTACAGATATTAAATCATTCACTTACAAATAAGCTCAATTTAGTCCTACTTTCCGTTTCCATACAATAATAAGTATGAATGAATCTATGAGTACTAGGTAGGTATTATTATGAATGTCTCTAAGGTTGTCTTGATGGGCGGAGTGATTCAGAAGTGCATTAAAAAATGGAGAAATATTTAAACAGGGGGTTATGTTCCAAGACGTTGAATGCCTGGGCATACAAAGTAAGCTTTTTAAGGGCTCGAGAAAGGGTAGGGGATTACAAGGTTATTGGTTCTAAGGGTGTTCTAACTTCTAAGCCTATTCTGAGAAGATTCACCACCCAGGTAGATTTTCGAAGTTTTGAATGGTTGGGCTGATGGAAAAGGTCTTCATGACGTAAAAGTTGTCATCACGAGGATTGACGGTTGAAGTTCATTGGGGAGGGGGTTTCGATGGTAATACATCGTATGCAATTTTAGGGCTAGGGTGCAATTGACTACCTTACATGTTAACTGTACATCTTATACGTAGACTCGTAGGATGTGTTACTTCGGTAGATACTAGGCATGTAGGAGGTCGAGGAGGTATGCGCTTCCTTCAAGATTTGTTGACTTCAAACCCAATCGTATGGAATATAAAAAGGGAAGCTTTTCACGGGGACAAGATTCCATTTCTTGAATGATCAATTTTAAATATCATTAATTACCTTCCACGCTATTAAAGATCAGATTAGGGTAAATCTCCTCCCTCGATAAATTGATTTTCACACTCGAGTAGATTTCAGTGAAACCAAATCTCGTTACCATACATACCATGCCCCCATGCTTCCATGCTTGTTCTAATCTATTTTATGCTTCGAACATTTGGCCCCATATCGCTACGGCTGTATGGAGATTTCGGGAGCACGGCAAACCCATAAACGTCTACTCCGGGATAAGAGTGGCATTGATAGCATAAGTATGCATTTACATCTGGGTTTCAGAGTGGCTAGTGACAGATCAATTTGATTATACGCATGGGATTGGTTGAATCGAGAAAGAGAAAACAGGCTCACAAGGTATATGGAGTACTTCGTACGGAGAAACGAAAAACTTCAGCTGCAAGAGAGTGGCTTGAATATGCTTGGTTCGTTGGCTGTTACGTGTTGAATACTTTATATTTTTATCGGAGAGGGGGCTTGTGATATGATTCTTACTGAATACGGTTGCCTTACACGTACGTGCGAATTAACCCAAAAAAAGGTTTGCTTTTTATGCTATTCTTGTAATGAATGTAATTATTCCTACTTCTTTCTCCAGATGAGGGCAAGCCCCCAAACCCCCAGACCTCACTGCGCTCGAGAGTACAAACGTTGAATTAACATTAACAAAGATTAGAAGAAGATTCGGTTCCACGGCAAACCCGTTGTCACTGCCGTGTTACCTGTGTTATGTTATGCTGCGGGGTGAAAAGGAAAAAAAAGGCAAACTCGGCACGCTCGTGGCAATCTGGTTGCTGGTCGCTGGCAAAGGAATAATTTATTGGTTGTGGCCAAGATCCAAGAAGTTGTTCAACGATTGTGACTAAAAGGATTGAAATATATCGTATGATTTCCGTTGATTGATAAGATCATAGAAGAGAATCAGTTGTTCTTTTCTTCCACGACACATTGCCTCATCCCGGGTCCGAGGTTGAGACCTGAGAGCCCGACGGTCCCGAATAAGCAATTTTATCAGGATGGGGTGCTTTCTATTTATCCTCCCCCTCCCTCCTCCCTCCTTCATCCTTTAATTAACATTTATTTTTATCACTCTTTTGTCATTCGGGTATGCTCACAATATTTCCATATTCAGAATCATGGTTGATCAAGAAGACGATGATTCTTGGTTTGTTGCTCCTGAAAATTAAGATCAACAAACACGAATGGAATTTTGGTACTCATGGTAATTTGTCTTAACGCACGATGTCGACGATCTTTTCAAGGAATTACTTTTGTGAATCTTCAATGCTATCGATCCTAGGGTACGATACTGTATGTATAATTGGAATCTCCTTTTTTCCCTTCGTGATAAATCTTGATGAAGCATTCTCTCATTCATGAAGTCATGATATATCAAAGTTTCCATCTATCTATCAATACAAGGCTTACTTGCAACGAGCACGAAGATTGGATCTCCAAGAATTTCAATTATGGGCATAGAAATCGAGATAAGATTTTGTATTCCAAGCACAGCAGGAGATTCAAAAAAATGGAATGCTCGCTTTCTCTCTCTCCCTTTTTGCCTGAAGTCTCATGTCAACAACAAATTCCACCAAATCCCGCTCTGTCCAAATTTCTTAGAGGTCCGAGACACATGGAAGTGATAAATCTCTCAAGGCAAAATTGGTAAAACAACAGATCGTCCCCAAACGCGACAACAGGGAGATCCTTCTTTTGGAGGAAAGTTTAATATTAGACTTAAGGTGCGCCATGATGGTCACTCTTGAAGGCGCTCTTCACTTGTGCCATTTTCATTACTGAATGTTGAAATATACGGGTGTATGAAGGAGAATTTACCGCTTTCGCATATATTCGGAAAAAAAAATCTTTTATTGTTCATGTTCCTCCTACAAATCTTTGAATCGGTTTCGAACAGTCCACACAAATTATTGAATGGAACGAATTTGACCTAAGGTTATAAAGAGCGACATAAAACCATTCCTCCATGTTGGTGAAAGGTAATTTGAAACCGGGTATGGGCTGGCGCTTATTAAAAGGGGCAGAAGTTAAGGTGAATGTCGCATGAAAATCTTCCAACATTGCTGAATCAAATTGTTACTTCTTTAGTTACATATTTTTGTTGGGTATATGTATTAATTGCTTGTCGATTTATTTGTGTCTCCTTTTTGTCGGCTCCCAAATTTATACTTTCGTCGTAGATTTCCTGTACGCTTGAGGGGAAATGGTGGGGGGCAAGATTAGATGGAGATGGGGTCGTCAACCAAAGCATAACAATTCCTGTTCGATGCCTGGCAAAGAATTGTTACCGTAAATGTTGTCCGCATGTAAGGAGACGTCGAGTTGTAACGTAAATCATGAGGTGTGAGGTGTGAGGTGCGATGTGCGATGTGGTGCGTATTAATAGGGGAAAGGAAAGCCGACCTTACTGGGAGAAGTCAATACTATCCCCAATTGGACTTACACTTCTGAATCCCCTTTCTCTCAAACTCGGGTCCAAAATAACGTCGGACGCACGGCAATCATATGCTAGGTGTTGTGAAATGTGATAAAAAGTCTTTGGGACAACTGTTGAATATGAGATGTCTTTATTCATTAATCAATTAACGGCATGATGGTATATATACAAATGTAAAAATTCTACCCAATCCGACCCACGCTATGCATTGCAAAAAAACATTAACCATCAACCCATATAAAGGTGATAATATACAAAATAAGAATATCATCTCATCATACTCATCCGAACACTACCCCACAGTAAAATGCCCATATTCTCGAGGTGTCCCTCCATCACCCGAACTTAATATTTGGGAGACTGATTTCCTGCTGGAAGTCCCTCATCATGCAAAACTCCGCCTTGGCCAGCTTCATTAACTTTTTGAAGCTTACCATTTCTTGTCTCCAAATTCATAGCGTCGGTATTAATATCAGTACCCAAAGTTGCCATCGTA